TCCATCATCATTAGGAGATCTGCGTAGATGCCTCAGGTATTTCTCCACTTTTTACTGCTTGTGTTTGAGTTTGAACTCTTCAATTGTTTGAGGGGCCTCTATATAATTTGTTTTCAGGTTGAAACTTTTTAATGGTTCAAGTGTACTGGTGTAATCTCTGATATATTTTTCTTTCAGGTTTAAATTCTTCAATGTTTGGAGGCTACTAGTGTGGCCTCTGATATGTCCTTCTTTCTCATCTGTTATTTGAATCATCTTACTGTCAGTTATGTAATAGTAATCAATATTTTTACATTTTCAGAAATGATACTGCGGAGTTAAACAGTGGTGCCGTTATACAGATGGATAACAACAGCTTTAACTACAAGACTAGCTAGCTATGTTATCATCAGTTGTACTCATAGATTAGTAACATTGTTACTTACAAGTCTAGATAGCCATTATATCATTAGTTATACTCATAGATTTGTAGCTTTGTTACTTACAAGACTAGATAGATATGCTCACACAAGTCTTCTACTTCTTCATTCCTTCTGTTAGAAAACAACTCATGTCAGGAGATCAGTTGCCTCGATGAAGGCTTTTGTTTAGTCTAAATCTCCAGCTTTGTTTTCAGATGAAGGCTTTTGTTTAGTCTAAATCTCCAGCTTTGTTTTCAGATGAAGGCAGGAACGTACCAGATGGCTTCTCAGTTAGCAGTGCACAGCTAGCAGTGTTTGAGTATATGAGTTCTACTCATAAATTTACAAACACATTACATACAAGAATAGCTAGAACCGATAACCATGGACATTTGTTCGTGGTGCAGTTGACCCTGGGAAACTAAAGGTATCCTTTCTTTCTGTGTCTGTGACGCTCGGTACTCGGATTTGAAGAGACTGTGGGACGAGCGATGGCTGCTTTTTATAATCTTAGTTTCATCATTTGTTTATTAATATTAAACATTTTTATAAAGAGACCAGTTTGTTTGATTTGCTGCTTTACTGCCACACATCTGCCACCATGTCAGTTGATATAAACATGACATTTGACAAAATAAGTTTACATAATTAATCCCTAATTAAAACAGTGTCACATTACATAAACACCAATCATTGTTAATTTTTACACCACAGAAGAAAATGTATTTCAAAAAACAAACAACTTAACATAAAAAAAGGATGATATCATTATGAAATATACCAGACAGAAAGGATGATGTCATTATGAAATATACCAGACAGAAAGGATGATGTCATTATGAAATATACCAGACAGAAAGCAAGATGTCATTATGAAATATACCAGACAGAAAGGATGATGTCATTATGAAATATACCAGACAGAAAGCATGATGTCATTATGAAATATACCAGACAGAAAGGATGATGTCATTATGAAATATACCAGACAGAAAGGATGATGTCATTATGAAATATACCAGACAGAAAGCAAGATGTCATTATGAAAATATACCAGACAGAAAGGATGATGTCATTATGAAATATACCAGACAGAAAGCATGATGTCATTATGAAATATACCAGACAGAAAGGATGATGTCATTATGAAATATACCAGACAGAAAGGATGATGTCATTATGAAATATACCAGACAGAAAGCATGATGTCATTATGAATTATACCAGACAGAAAGCATGATGTCATTATGAAATATACCAGACAGAAAGGATGATGTCATTATGAAATATACCAGACAGAAAGGATGATGTCATTATGAAATATACCAGACAGAAAGCATGATGTCATTATGAAATATACCAGACAGAAAGGATGATGTCATTATGAAATATACCAGACAGAAAGCATGATGTCATTATGAAATATACCAGACAGAAAGCATGATGTCATTATGAAATATACCAGACAGAAAGGATGATGTCATTATGAAATATACCAGACAGAAAGGATGATGTCATTATTAAATATACCAGACAGAAAGCATGATGTCATTATTAAATATACCAGACAGAAAGTGTCTTTGTTAAATAAACAGTCTAGAACAGAGGTTCTCAAACTTGATTCGCCGCAGCCCCCTTGTCGAGCTAAACAAAATTTGCGGCACTGCTAAGCTGTTTGAATACCTAAGAATAGAAGAAAAACAGTGCAGCCCAAATAAAATACTAATTTGTCTTTAGTGCGATGAATGAGACTGTTTGGATTTATCGACTGCACCTTCAGGAATGCAGACAGAGGACGTGTCACACCATGAGATAAATACAAGTACAATTCTTGGCATGTTGCGGTTGGCATTTTTATGCAATATGAAACATTTGAGTTTGAAACACAAAATAAACTCTTTTGACAGTGGCCAGGGAAGACAACTTAAATTTTAACTTTTAAGTATCTTCATGCCTTCTTTAATAATTTCATAATTTTTAGCCGAATGTTCTTGATTATTGCAGCGGCACACTTGACATACGCATCCAGTTTAAGAATCCCTGGTCTAGAGGACATTGATTTTCTGATTAAGTTTGGTATGTCTGAGGTTCTTTGTTTCGTTTTCATGGTCAGAATGTGACGAGGACACATAAACATGGAACTGTGACTTTACGGACCAGCAGTGAATGTATATGTAGAATATGGGACACATTGTGTACAACATGGGACTCTTTGTGTACAACATGGGACATCTTGTGTACAACATGGGACACTTTGTGTACAACATGGGATAATTTGTGTACAACATGGGACACTATGTACAACATGGGACACTTTGTGTACAACAAGGGACCCACTGTGTACAATTTGGGATACCTTGTCTGCTACATGGAACACTTTGTCTGCTACATGGGACATCTTGTCAACTACATGGGGCACCTTGTCTACTACATGGGACACTTTGTCTACTACTTAGGACACCTTGTCTACTACGTGGGACACCTTGTCTACTATATGGGACACCTTGTGTACAATTTGGGACCCTTGTGTACAACATGGAACACCTTGTGTACAACATGGGATACATTGTCTACTATATGGGACACCTTGTGTATAATTTGGGACACCTTGTGTACTACATGGGACAACTTGTGTACAACATGGGATACCTTGTCTACTATATGGGACACCTTGTGTACAATTTGGGACACCTTGTCTACTACATGGGACACCTTGTGTACAACATGGGACACCTTGTCTACTATATGGGACACCTTGTGTACAACATGGGACACCTTGTGTACAACATGGGACACCTTGTGCACAACATGGATAACATTGTGTACAAAATGAGACACCTTGTCTACTATATGGGACACCTTGTGTACAATTTGGGACACCTTGTGTACAACATGGGACACCTTGTGTACAACATGGGACACCTTGTCTACTATATGGGACACCTTGTCTACAACATGGGACACCTTGTCTACTACATGGGACACCTTGTCTACTACATGGGACACCTTGTCTACTATATGGGACACCTTGTCTACTATATGGGACACCTTGTGTACATCATGGAACACCTTGTTTACAACATGGGACACCTTGTCTACTATATGGGACACCTTGTGTACAACATGGAACACCTTGTGTACAACATGGAACACCTTGTTTACAACATGGGACACCTTTTGTACAACACTGAGAATCTGCACACCCAAATAAAGCATATACATTTGGTGAAGACGATATCTCTTAGAAAAAGCTATCTTTAAGAAAAAGCTATCTCCAAGAAAAGCTATCACTTAGGAAAAGCTATCACCAAGAAAAAGCTATCTCTAAGAAAAAAAGCTATCTAAGAAAAAGCTATCACCAAGAAAAAGCTATCTCTAAGAAAAAGCTATCACTTAGAAAAAGCTATCACCAAGAAAAAGGTATCTCTAAGAAAAAGCTATCACTTAGAAAAAGCTATCACCAAGAAAAAGCTATCACCAAGAAAAAGCTATCACTAAGAAAAAGCTATCCCTTAGAGAAAGCTATCCCTTAGAAAAAGCTATAACTTAGAAAATGCTATCACCAAGAAAAAGCTAGTCTCTAGAAAAAGCTATCCCTTAAAAAGCTATTTATCAGAAAGAGCTATCACTTAGAAAAAGCTATCACTTAGAAAAAGCTATCTCTAAGAAAAAGCTATCACTTAGAAAAAGCTATCACTTAGAAAAAGCTATCACTAAGAAAAAGCTATCTCTAAGAAAAAGCTATCACTTAGAAAAAGCTATCACTAAGAAAAAGCTATCACTTAGAAAAAGCTATCACTTAGAAAAAGCTATCACTTAGAAAAAGCTATCACTAAGAAAAGTTATCTCTAGGAAAAAGCTATCTCTTAGAAAAAGCTATCTCTAAGAGAAAGCTATCTCTAAGAAAAAGCTATCACTTAGAAAAAGCTATCACATAGAAAAATCTATCACTAAGAAAAAGCTATCACTAAGAAAAAGCTATCACTAAGAAAAAGCTATCACTAAAAAAACAAAAAAAAGCACAATGCAGGGTTGGGTATTAAGACTTGGCTAAAATGCTAAAGAACAATTCTGAGAAAACCATGGACCACGACCAAGACAAAACAAAGACACATTCATAATCTGAGCATTAAGGAGAACTGTCTCATAAACAGCATCCTGTGCCTGGAGCTCAGATATTTCGGCCATGTTAAATGTGTTGGTGGCCTGAAGAGAGCAGTCATGGAGGGTACGGGTTCCAGAACATGAGGCAGAGGCGGACCTTGGTGGAGGTGGACACAAACACTGAAGATGCACTGGCTATGAAAGCACCTAGCTCTGTAGAATTTGCTAGAGAAAGATGTTCAGGTTTGCCTTGATGAGAGCAATGTTTTGTGATGGACCTGCTGGCCAGTGATGATGATGATGATTAACACTTGACAATAGAACTGTGATCAATAAAGATATGGAAACATTGACATGGAAACAAAGATATGAAAAGACAGGCATGAAGACAAAGAATTAAAAAAAACAAAGATGGGAAAACGAAGACATGAAAATAAAAGAATAGCCAAGTGTGATGGCAGTTTAAAAAAAAAATACGAATTGGTGTCTTGTAGATCAGGCGACGTAGGTTTGATACCTCTCTTGCGTGGAATCAAACCCAGAGTTATCGTGGCCCCTCGATGGACGTCCTTCTTCTTTGGAATTCTAGGAACAAGAATGCATAAATAATTTATATTTTGTATACACTTCATTATAGAATGAGCCCCTTTAACTTGTTTTAATTCCGTACAATTGTTACTCTAGGCAATCAGACAGACGTTTGAATAGATAAACAGATAGACAGAGAGTTTACAATCCCTTCCTGGTCTAGACTTCAGGACTTCATGTTCCAGTGTAACCGAATGGTTGAACCGGCCTACAAGGATTTGTACATGTAGAATTCTCATCCTTGAGCTGTTAATTATACAGACTGCAACCCTGGAGGGGACAAACTACAACAGCGACAGCAAACAAGAGACAGACAGACAGCAGACAGACAGATGGACGTACAGACAGACAGCACTGGCAGACAGAGAGACAGCATAGACAGACAGACAGCACTGACAGACAGACAGACAGACAGACAGCACTGATAGACAGCACAGACAGACAGACAGACATCACTGATAGACAGCACAGACAGACAGATGGATGGACAGACAGATGGACGTACAGAGAGACAGCACAGACAGACAGCAGAGAGACAGCGCAGGCAGACAGACAGACTCAGACACAGTAATTAGTGTTGGAGATACTCTCTCTACAACCTGTCCTTACCCTGGATGTTTCCTGCATCTCAGAGTGAGACTGACTCCTAATATTTCCAGCGTAAGAGGCATTACCATTTCTTGCTTGGTTCATCTGTTGGGAAGGAACATTGAACATACAGCTCAGAAAAAACAGAAGTGGACAACACAAGTGAAGTGGACAGACTGAAGTGGACAGATAGAAGTGGACAAACAGAAATTGACAAACATAAGCAGACAAAGAGTAGTGGACAAAACAGAAGGGGACAAAGCACGTTAACAATAATTATTCTGACCATTAAGATGAAGCTGGCATCTCTGTTACTGTCATATAATCTTGTTCCAGGATTCAAAACAGCCACCTCTGCTTAGAAAATTGCATCATTCAAAGTTTTGGCACTTTGCCCCCCCCCCCCCCCCCCCCCCCCCAAAGATCAATGTCTGCATTACCTAATTTTTGAAACATATTTTTATATTTGTCCTCAGTCACTCCCCTCCTTGTATATGGACATATTTTGTCACAGTTTAAAGATCATTCTCACCTTAATGGATAATGTGGTCACTATGACACCAACCAATTTCTCAGTAAATGTACGTATCAATTATACTCTGGATCCCCGAGGGACCTCAGTAAAAACCTGTACCCCTGTGTTATCTGATATTTATAAGTAAAGTAAGTAGCCTTTCATTACTTTTGGGTGGATTGGGCAAATAAGGCTAGACCTATATTTTATATATCAGTCAGTACTTAGTGTGAGATGTGGTCAGCCTTTACTTTCCAGAACTTTACCTGGTACCCACTCAAGGTTGGGCTGACCCAGGAACCAAGGTCATTACAAAAAAAAAAAGGTCAGGTTCTGTTAGGACCCGATCCTGTGACCTTTCAATCCGCAGTGAGTATCTAGCCATTAAACCATGGGGCTATCCATCTGATATTTGTAGTCTTTGCTAGGTTGTTGAAACAAGGGACCACAGTAAATACCTGTACCACTGTATTATCTAATATTTGTAGTCTTTGATTCATTACTAGGCTGTTGAAACAAGGGACCACAGTAAATACCTGTACCATTGTATTATCTGATATTTGTAGTCCAGCATTTATTGCTACATTGTTGAAACTGCTCACAGACTCTCTCAATATCTGTCTCACATGCCAGTGTTTCCCCACTTGACACTCCGCCTCTGATTCATCCGAAACGCCACCTCCAGGAGGAACCATGCTACTGAGCTCTCGGGTATTTGTGGCAAAGTGATCACACAACTTGCCATGCTCTCTAGAGGTCATGAAATCATTTAATGGATGGCGTCAGTTGGTTTATGATTCCAATTGTTACCGAGATCCTTGGGGGCTGTTGATGTATCAATGGAGTTTGTGCTTTGCACATTGTTCTTAGTAGGTAGCTAGTTATTCTTTGGAGGAAAGACCACCCATTGCTGGATATAACTCTTTGCAAATGAGTCAATGTGACGCAAATAAACAAGACCATAAATATAGCCAGAGACTGTTGGCAGCTTCAGCTAGCTGCAGGTTGAATGTGGTTGAGTTTTTGATTTTTTCTTAAAAGGAATTGGAATTGGAAGTGGATCTTCTGGGCTTTGACTTAACTCATCGGTGGCAACTTTTTTTTTTTTTTTTTTACATGAAAAAATTGCAAACTGGCAGGCGCCAGGCCTAAGCAGATAACATTTCTTCCCCAGTGTTGGACACAAAGTGTCTGCTACACTTTGGTGCACATCACAAGTGGGGCAACCATCTTAAAACTGTCATTCTGATTTCACCATGTTCGTCTGCACTGTGATGTCATGCACTTAACACTCTTGACATCCTTAAAAATATTGACAGTTTGCAAGAAGTGACATGGTTATTGTTATCATATTTTGAAGCTCTTTCATATTTCATGATCATCAGACTGTAAAACTATACACAAAATAAAAAAAAAAACAAGTTGCTCACATTAGATTTAGAATTCCTTCGAGACCAGATCTTGTAGCCAACAACACCAGCAGCGACAAGGCAAACTACCACGATAATGACAACAATGACGATAATTTCCGCTTCTCCTAGACCTCCAGACCCGCTGTCATCACTAGACAGTTGTTCTGAAACAGAGGCGGTGATGACAGATGATGAAATAGAGGCAATGCTAGGTAGACAGTAGATGTTGATGAAATAGAGGGGGTGCTGGATAGACGGTAGATGTTGATGAAATAGAGGCAGTGCTAGGTAGATGGTAGATGTTGATGAAATAGAGGCAGTGCTAGGTAGACGGTAGATGATGATGAAATAGAGGTGGTGCTGGATAGATGGTAGATGTTGATGAAATAGAGGCAGTGCTATGTAGACGGTAGATGAAATAGAGGTGGTGCTGAATAGACGGTAGATGTTGATGAAATAGAGGCAGTGCTATGTAGATGGTGGATGTTGATGAAATAGAGGCAGTGCTAGGCAGATGGTAGATGTTGATGAAATAGAGGCAGTGCTAGGTAGATGGTAGATATTGATGAAATAGAGGGGGTGCTGGATAGACGGTAGATGTTGATGAAATAGAGGCAGTGCCAGGTAGATGGTAGATGTTGATGAAATAGAGGTGGTAATCTGGTAATCTAAGACGGTAGTTGTTGATGAAATAGAGGTGGTGCTAGGTAGATGGTAGACGTTGCTTCATATTAGGAGCGTTAATCTGAAATCCCTCCCTGCTGCACCGCGCTGAACTGACTGTGTTGAACATGTTATTTGTCATTGTCATGTGATGAGTAACTGATCAGGGAATGTAAAAAAAGCATGTGCATCCCATTGTAAATTTGTTCTTTTTCTGACCATTGTGATAATGGCTGCTGGTTTGATTCAATATTCATCCAAAATTAATGCATGCTCTCCAAGTATTCGTAATTTCTTGCTATTTTTGTCCTCGCTTCAAAAATCTGTTGTTATAAAAGAAGAAAGAAGTGAAGTATAACTATCCATAATTCTACAAATTTAACTTTTCAAATTAAGCCTCTCTTGTTTGTAGAGAAGAAAAAAAAGAGTTCAGTGTGAAAGTAAAGTCAGTTAGTAATAGACCTTTTTTATGCCTTGGCACATTAGGCATATAATGCTGAAGTTTTTATAGATCTGTCTGCACATAATGGGTGATGAGATCAACATCATGCCAGCCAGCCACCTTTACTTTCTTGGACATTTCTTGGTACCCGCTTTAGGCTGGTCGACCTATGAGTGAAAAATATATCGCACCCAACTGTAGCTGTAGTGATGAAGAAGGTTCTGTAATCTTGGAGGCATATAAAATAAACAGTTATCCTTAAGTCTTGAATTCTGGAAGACCTAGACTTCGCCGACGACATAGCACTCCTGAGTTCAGAACACACAGACGCCCAAGAAAAAATCAATCGACTCCAGAATTTCTCAGAACAAATTGGACTCCAAATTAACACCGCAAAAACAAAAATTCTAGACCTTACCAACAGTTCAGTTGATATCACACTGATCAAAAACAGCCTTGAAAAAGTCAACAGTTTCACTTATCTAGGGAGCAAGATGTCATCTACAGGAGATACCGCACCAGAAATATCATTTAGAATAGCACTGGCATCTAGTGCCTACAATAAACTGTCTAACATCTGGAAATCAAAGACACTTAGCAAACACACAAAACTCAAGATCTTCAATTCTTGTGTGATTCCAGTACTAACCTATGGATGCGAGAGCTGGAAATCAACGAAAACTCTAGACACAAAATTAGACTGTTTTGAAAATAAATGCCTTATAAGAATACTAAATTTCAAATGGTCAGATTTCCGAACCAATACACAAATAAGGCAAGAATCCAGGCAAGAGTATGTGTCTAATTTTATACGAAAACGCCGCTGGAACTATGTCGGCCACGCCCTTAGAATGGATAAATCAAGACTTCCTTACCAAGCCCTCATTTGGACACCACAGGGGAAAAGATCTCGTGGAAGACCAAGGGAAACCCTACGTAGAACTATAATCAGGGAAGGCTCGCTCATGGGCCACTCAAACATCCAAGACCTACAACGGATTGCAACGGACCGCCGTGCATGGAGAGTCACGACCTCTGCCCTATGTGCCGCACTCGACACAAGAGGAAAGACTAACTAACTAACTAATTTAAGTCTTGAGAGTAAGAAGTATTTGTCTGTAGTTCTGCTTATTAAAAAGGTAACTATACCTATCTATACATATTTAAATTAAGAAGGTAACTATACCTATCTATAAATGTTTAAATTAGGAAGTAGAATGTTACCTATGTGTACTTATGTATATTTAGAAGTTAAGTACACTGTTTGTTAATGTTTAGATTGAGAATTTAAGTATAAAGTAAAGTTAAAAAAAAAAGTAAAGTTCCCTTTTCACGCCTTTCGGCGCATCGGGCATATGGGCAGAGCGTCCCATATTTTTTCAGACCATCAGCACTCTGTGGGTAATGTGGTCAGCATTACGCCGGCTGTCTTTACTTTCCCAGGACAGCCCATCCTGGTACCCATTTAAGGCTGGGTCGACCTGCGACGTCCCATGCCACGACAAAAATCCACGCAGCCTGCAGTGGGTTTCGATCGCGGTATGCTGGCTTACGAGTCGGACTCGCAACGCCTTAGCCACGGACGCCGCCAATTTAAGTATACACATCTGTTAAATGTAAAGATTTGAAAAGTTACTTATACCTTTATGTCAAATGTTGAGACTGAGAATTTAGGTATACCTAACTGTTAAATGTTGAGATAAAGAAATTAATGACGCCTATCTGTCAAATGTTGAGACTGAGAATTTAGGTATACCTATCTGTTAAATGTTGAGATAAAGAAATTAATTATACCTATTTGTCAAATGTTGAGACTGAGAATTTAGGTATACCTAACTGTTAAATGTTGAGATAAAGAAATTAATTATACCTATCTGTCAAATGTTGAGACTGAGAACTTAGGTATACCTATCTGTTAAATGTTGAGATAAAGAAATTAATTATACCTATCTGTCAAATGTTGAGACTGAGAATTTAGGTATACCTAACTGTTAAATGTTGAGATAAAGAAATTAATGACGCCTATCTGTCAAATGTTGAGACTGAGAATTAAGTTACACCTGTCTGTTATTCAGAAAGCAATGGCAAACAAGTTAATGTAAAATTTGCCTTTGAAAACCACAACAGCCAAAAAATGCTAGGGTTGGTTCTGCAACGTCCTGCAAAGGATACGCAACTAACTACTATCTGTTAAATGTTGAGACTAAGAAATTAATTATGCCTATCTGTAACTGTTTAGACAGGTCCCATGTGGGCTCTGGGGCCCTGTTAGGGGGAAAACTAGAGGAAACCCATTGCCTCCCTAACACACATACAAGTTGACTAATTAGAGGTTTCCATTTAAAATGCATCTGCCTGTGAGTCAAACAACAAATAGTTTGGATACAAATAAGCCAAATCTGTAAAATAGAAATGCAAGCAGAAGTCAAGTTCTGGAACAGGGAAAAAAAACCTACAGAAGTTTACAAACAACCAGAACTATCCACCAGAGTTGACAGTTAGTTAATAGCAATAGCAGAAGAAGAAGAAGAGTTTAGACTGAGAAGTTGAGTCTGCCTATCATATTTAGATTGAGAAATTCTTAAGTACATACCAGTACGAGGCTCTCCAATAACTAAATGATTTTTGTCTAGTTGATGTCCACTCAGAGAACCAGAGCCCACAACTGAGATCATGGCAATCTCCACGTTCCGCTTGACTTGCTCCATCGAACCATCCTGGGTGTCAACTCTGACGTCAAAGTCGATGACAACACTTCCTGGGCTGGGAACAGACAGTTATAAACATCATTTACACGTCAACAGATGGTGACCCAGTAAGGAATCCTTCAACGAAAATTAAAACATAAGACTACTTCAAAGGGAGTCGTGGAAGAGTGGTCCCAAAAAGCTCATCTGCATGACCAGAGATCTGCAGTTAGAATCTGCACCGAGCAGATTTGGAGAAAATCACATTGGCTCCCACGTCGACCCTGACATTGGCTCCCACATCGACCCTGACATTGGCTCCAACATCGACCCTGACATTGGCTCCCACGTCGACCCTGACATTGGCTCCCACGTCGACCCTGACATTGGCTCCCACATCGACCCTGACATTGGCTCCCACATCAATTGCAGGAGGTTGCATATCAATTGCAGGAGGTTGCATATCAATTACAGGAGGTTGCATATCAATTACAGGAGGTTGCATATCAATTGCAGGAGGTTGCATATCAATTGCAAGAGGTTGCATATCAATTACAGGATGTTGCATATCAATTGCAGGAGGTTGCATATCAAATGCAGGATGTTGCATATCAATTGCAGGAGGTTGCATATCAATTACAGGATGTTGCATATCAATTACAGGAGGTTGCATATCAATTACAGGATGTTGCATATCAATTACAGGAGGTTGCATATCAATTGCAGGATGTTGCATATCAATTACAGGATGTTGCATATCAATTACAGGAGGTTGCATATCAATTGCAGGATGTTGCATATAAATTACAGGAGGTTGCATATCAATTACAGGATGTTGCATATCAATTACAGGAGGTTGCATATCAATTACAGGAGTTTTTTGGTTGTCATGTCCAATTGCAGGATGTTTGCATATCAATTACAGGAGGTTTGCATAGTCAATTAACTAAGGTTTGTCAGTGACAGAAGTTTTGTCAGTGACGGTTTTTGGTTGTTTGTGATTTTACTAAGAAATTTGACATTCTGTAATTTGTTAGTGCCACTAGTAGTTTGTCAGTGACACTAGTAGTTTGTCAGTGACACTAGTAGTTTGTCAGTGACACTAGTAGTTTGTCAGTGACCACTAGCAGTTTGTCAGTGACACTAGTAGTTTGTCAGTGACACTAGTAGTTTGTCAGTGACACTAGTAGTTTGTCAGTGACACTAGTAGTTTGTCAGTGACACTAGCAGTTTGTCAGTGACACTAGTAGTTTGTCAGTGACACTAGTAGTTTGTCAGTGACACTAGTAGTTTGTCAGTGACACTAGCAGTTTGTCAGTGACAGTTTGTCAGTACTAGTAGTTTTTCAGTGACACTAGCAGTTTTGTCAGTGACACTAGTAGTTTGTCAGTGACACTAGTAGTTTGTTTCAAGGCCACTAGTTTGTTCAGTGACACTAGTAGTTTCGTCAGTGACACTAGCTAGTTTGGTCGTGACACTAGCAGTGTGTCAGTGACACTAGCAGTTTGTCAGTGACACTAGTAGTTTGTCAGTGCCACTAGCAGTTTGTCAGTGACACTAGTAGTTTGTCAGTGACACTAGTAGTTTGTCAGTGACACTAGCATTTTGTCAGTGACACAAGTAGTTTGTCAGTGACACTAGTAGTTTGTCAGTGACACTGACCGGGCTAACGCTAGTAGCTTCCCTGACAACCACTTTTGCAAGTGTACAAGAAATAAAACTGGTCACTGCAAGTTTGTCAAAAGGATGCCCTGTAGCAGGGAAAAGATAGCCAGCAAAAATTAGAGGAGAGGACAACTGTGAGCATGTCGCAAAGCCAGAGTTGATTCGAGCTGTGAGCTAAGGTCTGTGAAAGGGGAGAACAGTGACAGAGTTTGAAAGAGATCAATTAGTCAGTTGACGAGAGAACTGTAAATGTGAGCGAAAAGAAGAGTATCCCACTGTAGAGGAGAGAGAGAACTGTGAAATGTGAGGGAAAGATAGAGTAGTGGTGATTGAGAACAGATGTGAGTTGAAAAGACTGAATGAATAAAATGAGAGGAGAGAGAGCTTGTGAAATGTGAGGGAAGGAATCACACCACATACCTGAAACGAGTGACCTCAACATTCTGCTGAAAATGTGAGGAGGGGGGACGAGATAAATAAAATAGATACAAACTGAAAGAGCATCTATGAAGTGGTGGGCTAAGGGGGGGGGGGACAGATAAATATAATAGATACAATGAACGATATCTTATTGAAGTGTGAGGGATAGCAGGGGGGGGGACAGATAAAATATATAGATAAAAACTAAAGGAGATGTATGAAGTTGCCAAGGGGGGGAGGGAGGGGGAACAGATAAATAAAATAGATACAACTAAAGGAGATCTATGAAGTGCAGGGGGGGGGGGGGAACAGAGAAAATATAGCATAGATACATCATTTAGAAAGAGATATATGAAGCATGTGGGGGGGGGGGGGAGGGAACAGATAAATATAATGAGATACCACTGAAAGAGATCTAGAGGAGTGTTGGGGGGGGAAATGAAAGGCGGGAACAAGATAGTAGAATATATACAACTTAGAGGAGATCTATGACGAGTGTGGTGAGGGTGAGGGGGGAACAGATAAATACAATTGAGAGGAGAGAGAGGAGAACTCTATGAAGGGTGGGGGGGGGGGGAACAGAGGAATATAATGAGATACAAGGGAAGGAGAAACTATGAAAGTGAGGGAGGTGGGGGAACAAATAAATATAATAGATACAACTAGAGGAGAGAGAGATCTAATAAAGTGTGGGGGTGGGGGGATCCACAAACAGGAGTAGAATATAACTAGATTAGCGAAAAGAAGGAGATCTATGAAAGTGGGGGGAGGCGGGGGGGAACAGATAATATAATATGATACAGGAAGGAGATCTATTGAAATGTGGGGGTGGGATAGAACAAATAAATATCATAGATAACAAGTAAAACAGGAGATTATGACAATTAGTGGGGGGAAATGGGGGGGGGAACAGATAAATATAATAGATACAACTGAAAGAGATCTATGAAGGTGCGGGGGGGGGGGGGGGGAACAGATAAATATAATAGATACAACTGAAGGAGATCTATGAAGTGTGGGGGGGGGGGAACAGATAAATATAATAGATACAACTAAAGGAGAATCGATGAATGGGGGAGGGGGGAAACAGATTGTTATATAATAGATACAGATACAAATAATAAGAATCTTATGAGTGCGGGGGGACGGGGGGTGGGGGCAGATAAGTAGAATATATGCAATAGAGGACAGAAAACTATTAATTAGGCGTGGGGGGGGGGGTTATCAAAATTAGAGGAGAAGATCTGTGAAATTGTGTGTGATTGGGGGGTGGGGGGGGGCAGATAACAAAGAGTATATACGGTCAATAGAGGAAAGATCGAGATTCGAAAATTGTGAGAGAAACTAAGATAGAGTGTATACATAACATAGAGAGTAGTTATAGATAATTGTTGGTCGCGCTGATTTGGGCCGTAAAGTGTGATAGTGTGTGAAGGGACAGTACTTCTGTGAGTTCACGGGGGGATGGAATAGTGTCAACTTGGTCCGAGTATTGAGAGGAGACCGGTGAAAATGTCTATCATGAAGCAAGGCGTGCACGCACGATGAGAAAGTGGACGCGGTGGGGGTACTGTGGGGGGGCTGAAAGTCTGACAAGAGAGAAAGTGTGAATAAGTGACAGTAATTCTATGGTAATCATCAGCCACTAGCATAAGTGTGATCCTCAGAGAACGCCAACCATTAGCAGTGGAGTTCCAGAGAACACCCAGGGATCATGAGTCACGAGAGACCCCCCATACGAGCGTGACTCTGTGAGAACATCATCCACCTACACGGATTTGAGGGGGATTATTTGGAGGGCCTGGAGGCAAATCGAGAAGCAGTCGGAGAGAGAGAAGCGAGAAGAGAGAGAGAGAGAGAGAGAGAGAAGAAAGCAAGAGTCAGAGACCAGTCAGGGTCCGTGATATCTCTCGCGATGGCCATCTAACATACAAGAATACCGTACGACCTATGTCAGGCATTAGGTCTGGAGGTGAGTGTCGAGCGTTGCGGGGTACGAGGTTGCGGTACTAAAAGGAAGATATGGTCCCTCTGGCAAAGTAAGTCCAGGGGACGGACGGCTCCATTAGTACCTGTTCTGGATGGCGACGTAGAGAAACGTAGGAGGACCACTACTGAAACAGAACAGAGGGGAGTGGTACCGACGAGAGCTGGATACTAGAGGGGACTTATGATAGAAGTCCTGTCGGTCATCGGGGCCCTACGACAAGCTGACGACAGATTGTGTGTTTCCGGAGTACGGCAAGGGAAGTCTGTCTCCAGTCAGCCGTGTTGTATGCTTGAAATAATATCAAGGTCCAGTGAATGGGAGAATTCGTCCTGTTTAGCTGTACGGCGCGTCCAGAGTGTGGGACGCTGTAGTCCTTGGAGCTGTAGTGGTCAAGGAGAGGTCGCTACAAATTGAGGGATAGAGAGCGAGTGAGGACAAATGGACGATATGCGAATGTCAACTGTGATCAATAATTACGTCTCTGCATTTGTGCCATGTATCCTGTTAAATATAAATGTATGAAGTTGTCATTGTCGTCGAGTTCTAATTCTAAGAGAGGAAGCTGAAGAGTACCAGCTAGAAAAGAGTACCAGCTAGACACTTGGTAGTGTGCTGACTCGGGGTAACGCAGTTAGCACATAACAGATAACATAGAGTGTATACATAACATAGACTGTATACATAACACAGAGTGTATACATAACATAGACTGTATACATAACATAGTGTATACAATTAGAAGAGACAGAAAGTACAAGAAAACAAATACGAGGGGAAAGGGAATAAAGGGTAAGGTCCCTTTCGGTTTTTGGGGGGTAAACAATTAGGGGGGAGAGAGATATGTAAAGTGTGGGGGGGGGGGGGGGGGGGGGGGAAGATAAATCATAAGTGTACAATTGAGGGGAAATAACTGTAAAGTGTGGGGGAAAAAGATCAATAAAATGTACAATTAGGGGGAGAGAGATCTGTAAAGTGTGGGAAAAAGATCAATAAAATGTACAATTAGGGGGAGAGAGATCTGTAAAGTGTGGGAAAAAGATCAATAAAGTGTACAATTAGCGGGAGAGAAATCTGTAAAGTGTGGGAAAAAGATAAAAAAAGTGAATACAATTTGGGGGAGAGAGATCTGTATAAGTCAAAGACAATCAAACTGGTGGCAAACTGAGAGCTCAGCCATAGCATGACTACTACTTATAGAGCAGATTCCCACAAGAACAACCACAAGTAAACCTAAGACTTTCACTTAGTGGCGTCTGAGTAGAAATAAATGAATAAACAGGAACGGTAGAAATACTTTCATAATGCTTTGCAATTCCAGCTAACCAAGACCTGAACAGAAAAACATCAAATGGTATGACAGCAACACTAATGTCGCACGAATGTTTGAGTGTGCATGTGTGTGTGTCTGTGTGTGTGCGTGCATGTGTGTGTGAGAGAGAGAGAGACAGAGCTAGAGATAGAGAGACAAAGAGAGACAGAGAGTTGGGATTTAGGTGGCAAAGACTAGACCATTGCGCTAGCCACTGTTCTAACAAGACTAGACCATTGTGCTAGCCACTGTTCTAACAAGACTAGACCATTGTGCTAGCCACTGTTCTAACAAGACTATACCATTGTGCTAGCCACTGTTCTAACAAGACTAGACCATTGTGCTAGCCACTGTTCTAACAAGACTAGACCATTGCGCTAGCCACTGTTCTAACAAGACTAGACCATTGCGCTAGCCACTGTTCTAACAAGACTAGACCATTGCGCTAGCCACTGTTCTAACAAGACTAGACCATTGTGCTAGCCACTGTTCTAACAAGGCCCCTATAAAATATTTTGAAAAAATTTTGTCCTCCCCATGTGGGTTCTAGGGCTTCATTTTAAAGAATAAAGAATAGGCACATTGCCCCTAGCAAGCATGTCATAAGAGGCCACTAACTGGGGGTGTTATCTTCAAAATCGAAGTGCATCTGCTTGAGAGGCAAAAAACCAACAGTCTTTATACATATAAGCCAGATCTGTAAACTGTATATGCATGCAAAAGTCGAGTTCTGGATCAAGACCAAAGTTCATTAGTTGATGAACAATCAGAACTTAATGCCTTGAGTTTGCAGCTGGTGAAGACCAAGAAGAAATATAATCTCTTCACAGGACTCCTATTTAAAGGTTTGATCCGGCATTTTACACCTGTAGCATTCACAACCCCCCCCCCCCCCCCCTCCTCGCACACAGACACACACACACACACATAGAACATTGTTTATTTTTAACATACCAGACTCATAGATAAATGTTTGACCTCATATTTTACACCTGTAGCATTCACGCCCCCCCCCCCCTCCCCTTCCTCGCACACAGACACACACAGACACACTCATACACACACACACATAGAACATTATTTATTTTTAATATACCAGACTCATGGATGAATGTTTGACCTCATATTTTACTGCTGTAGTATACTACCCCCTACACTTCCCCCATCTCCACTCAGAATATTGTTTACATTTCTCCTGCTAGCATATGAACTGGTACATGCTGCTGAAGACTGCAGATTGTGAAGAAGCAGCATTTGTCAAGGCACTTGCATGATGATAATAGTGATAGGTACTGACCTCATGTTCTATTGGAACTTTAGTCTGTTGGGCGACTTGAGACTGCAGATCTGATAACTGTGAGCTGTAGCTGGCATCCAGTAGTCTGATAGAACTAGGCACTATAACAGTGACATGAGATGCTTCATTGGTTACCGATCGACTGGTTGTAGAACCTACAAATGTTTCAGTTTTTAGCATCACAGACAAAATACAGAAGTTAAACACACATTCCTAAATACATAAATATTTTTCACAAAGTTAATTTTTTAATTCACACAGGTAATTTTTTTAATTCATACAGTTAATTTTTTAATCCACAGTCAATTTTTTAATTCACACAGTTAATATTTAATATACACAGGTAATTTTTTAATTTCACACAGTTAATTTTTTTAATTCGCACAGTTAATTTTTTAATTCACACAGTTCATTTTTTTAATTCACACAGTTAATTTTTTAATTCGCACAGTTAATTTGATATTTGTAAACATTTTTCCATCCAATTTGTCCCAGACAGACTGTCTAATGTAAGCAACCAGGACATGTCTAGTGTAAGCAACCAGGGCTGTCTAGTGTAAGCAACCAGGACATGTCTAGTGTAAGCAACCAGGACATGTCTAGTGTAAGCAACGAGGACATGTCTAGTGTAAGCAACCAGGACATGTCTAGTGTAAGCAACCAGGACATGTCTAGTGTAAGCAACCAGGACTGTCTAGTGTAAGCAACCAGGACATGTCTAGTGTAAGCAACCAGGACATGTCTAGTGTAAGCAACCAGGACATGTCTAGTGTAAGCAACCAGGACATGTCTAGTGTAAGCAACCAGGATATGTCTAGTGTAAGCAACCAGGACATGTCTAGTGTAAGCAACCAGGACATGTCTAAGAAAATAAGGCCAACTGACAGCCTTAGACAGGAATGAGTTATTTGCAAAGAAAAAAAAAGAAGAAAATTCAAAAGCGATTGAATGTGATTTGTAAACAATTGTTTATAATAGCACTGACCAAGAAGAAGAAAAACATCAACAGTCTGCATGATCTGAGCATCAAGGAGAATTGGCTCATAAACAGCATCCTGTCCCAGGAGCTGAAGTATTTCAGCCATTGAAACATCATGGTGGCCTGGACAGAACATCATGGTGGCCTGGACAGAACATCATGGTGGCCTGGACAGAACATCATGGTGGCCTGGACAGAACATCATGGTGGCCTGGACAGAACATCATGGTGGCCTGGACAGAACGATGATAGAGGGCACAGTTTCTGGAAAACGAGGAGAGAAGATACACTGAAGAGGCCTTGGCTACGAAAGCACACAGGGCTGGAGAATGGGCTATGAAAGCACACAAGGCTGGAGAATGGGCTATGAAAGCACACAGGGCTGAGAATGGGCTATGAAAGCACACAGGGCTGGAGAATGGGCTATGAAAGCACACAGAGCTGGAGAATGGGCTACGAAAGCACGCAGGGCTGGGGAATGGGCTATGAAAGCACACAGGGCTGGAGAATGGGCTATGAAAGCACACAGGGCTGGAGAATTGGCTATGAAAGCACACAGGGCTGGAGAATTGGCTATGAAAGCACACAGGGCTTGAAAATTGGCTATGAAAGCGCACAGGGCTGGACAATTTGCTATGAAAGCACATAGGATTGGAGAATATGCTATGAAAGCACAGTGTTGGAGAATGGGCTATGAAAGCACACAAGGCTGGAGAACTGGCTATGAAAGCACATAGGGCTGGAGATTTAGCTATGAAAGCACACAGGGCTGGAGAGTGGGCTATGAAAGCACACAGGGCTGGAGAATGGGCTTTGAAAGCACACAGGGCTGGAGAATGGGCTTTGAAAGCACACAGGGCTGGAGAATGGGCTTTGAAAGCAGAGAGGGCTGGAGAATGGGCTTTGAACGATTGCAGGCATGTTGTGACGAGAGTGCCATTCTGTCAAGGACCTGCCTGCTGACTGATGATGATGATATGTCTTGGGTTCGGTCCGACGCTGAGTCAGATTCTTTACTTAAAAGTGACTTTGGCTCTCAGGCTGGACCAGTGTTAACTTAAGACCAGGCTGAACGCATCACTCAGCGTGTGCAAAGTGGTCTTTATGAATATGAGTCCAGCATCATATGCTTGACTGGCCACTAGTGTAAACAGAGTCTTCTACATACAGGTGCCCAGAAAGGCATCAACATGGCTGGGTCAGTTTTCTACTGACAGGTGCCCAGAAAGGCATCAACATGGCTGGGTCAGTTTTCTACTGACAGGTGCCCAGAAAGGGATCAACATGGCTGGGTAAAAAGCGAGGACCTAATGGAGGCACGTGTCGAATATCTGCCATAGGATATTGAGTTGTTCCTTAGTTCCTACCAATTCCTGATTCTAGCCAGTAGGTTTAGAGAGTTTGTACAGATTGCAGGATCTAAGCAATGGGTATAAATTCTAACCTGCCCTGGCCTCCTCCCCCCCCCCCTCCCCCACCTCCTCCACTAGAGGTCTGTATGGTGTCAACTTAATGATGAGAATCAAACAGGTGGATTGTTTAGCTTGTTGGTCTCTCGTGTGGGAGAACTGATTTTGAATTTTCTGTAAGGTTAGGGGTTTTGTTGCTGATGGGGGCAAAAATAAATTCTAACCTGCACAGTCTATGGCAACAACACTAGCCATTTGGCTCTAAATCTAGGCCCTTGTCTACATGGCAACAGTGATAAATCTAGGCCCTTGTCTTCATGGCAACAGTGATATATCCAGGCCCCTTGTCTACATGGCAACAGTGATAAACCTAGGCCCTTGTCTACATGAGAACAGTGATAGTTCTAGGCCCTTGTCTAAATGACAACAGTGATAAATCCAGGCCCTTGTCTACATGACAACAGTGATAAATCCAGGCCCTTGTCTACATGACAACAGTGATAAATCTAGGCAGTTTTGGCAGTGGTTAGATTACCTGGTGAAAGCGAATCATCTGTCCTTGACCTTGTTGATGGAGTCAATGAATAACCAGTGGTAGAAGGTGGAGGTGATGTTGTTTGTCCATCTACAGCTGAAACAGATGTAGTATCTACAAGTTAGTTGCATGTCCTGGACAGGACATTGCAGAACCTACCCCAGCATGTCTTGGCTGCTTTGGTTTTACTAGGCATTTTGAGATTCAGTAGTTTGTCAGTGCCCACTGAACAGCTGGTTCTCGATAAACCCTGTCAAAATCAATGCAAGGTGGTCTCCTGCCACATCCTGGTAGCTGGAATTGAACTGTGTACCTTGAAATTATGAATATTGCAGATTCGCCTTCTCCCAACTCTTGACAGCCATCTATAGTGTAAAGGATCCCCAGGTGAACGATCACCTGCTAACGAGTAGAGGAGGTCCGTAGATATATATACTCCACCATTAAAGGGAGGGTTGTCTTTTGTGTCCATCTTCTTCTTTGGTTTTATGCTCAGATCAGACCATTAGGTGGGTTGCCTCTATAAACTCATATGCTCAGATTAGACCATTAGGTGGGTTGCCTCTATAAACTCATATGCTCAGATCAGACCATTACGTGGGTTGCCTCTATAAACTCATATGCTCAGATCAGACCATCAGGTGGGTTGCCTCTATAAACTCATATGCTCAGATCAGACCATCAGGTGGGTTGCCTCTATAAACTCATATGCTCAGATCAGACCATCAGGTGGGTTGCCTCTATAAACTCATATGCTCAGATCAGACCATCAGGTGGGTTGCCTCTATGAACCCATATGCTCAGATCAGACCATTAGGTGGGTTGCCTCTATAAACTCATATGCTCAGATCAGACCATCAGGTGGGTTGCCTCTATAAACTCATATGCTCAGATCAGACCATCAGGTGGGTTGCCACTATGAACTCATATGCTCAGATCAGACCATCAGGTGGGTTGCCTCTATAAACTCATATGCTCAGATCAGACCATCAGGTGGGTTGCCTCTATAAACTCATATGCTCAGATCAGACCATTAGGTGAGTTGCCACTATGAACTCATATGCTCAGATCAGACCATCAGGTGGGTTGCCTCTATGAACTCATATGCTCAGATCAGACCATCAGGTGGGTTGCCTCTATAAACTCATATGCTCAGATCAGACCATTAGGTGGGTTGCCTCTATGAACTCATATGCTCAGATCAGACCATCAGGCGGGTTGCCTCTATGAACCCATATGCTCAGATCAGACCATCAGGCGGGTTGCCTCTATGAACCCATATGCTCAGATCAGACCATTAGGTGGGTTGCCTCTATGAACTCATATGCTCAGATCAGACCATCAGGCGGGTTGCCTCTATGAACCCATATGCTCAGATCAGACCATTAGGCGGGTTGCCTCTATGAACCCATATGCTCAGATCAGACCATGAGGCGGGTTGCCTCTATGAACCCATATGCTCAGATCAGACCATTAGGCGGGTTGCCTCTATGAACTCATATGCTCAGATCAGACCATTAGGCGGGTTGCCTCTATGAACCCATATGCTCAGATCAGACCATCAGGTGGGTTGCCTCTATGAACTCATATGCTCAGATCAGACCATCAGGTGGGTTGCCTCTATGAACTCATATGCTCAGATCAGACCATCAGGTGGGTTGCCTCTATGAACCCATATGCTCAGATCAGACCATCAGGTGGGTTGCCTCTATAAACTCATATGCTCAGATCAGACCATCAGGTGGGTTGCCTCTATAAACTCATATGCTCAGATCAGACCATCAGGTGGGTTGCCTCTATGAACTCATATGCTCAGATCAGACCATTAGGTGGGTTGCCTCTATAAACTCGTATGCTCAGATCAGACCATTAGGTGGGTTGCCTCTATAAACTCGTATGCTCAGATCAGACCATCAGGTGGGTTGCCTCTATAAACTCATATGCTCAGATCAGACCATCAGGTGGGTTGCCTCTATAAACTCATATGCTCAGATCAGACCATCAGGTGGATTGCCTCTATAAACTCATATGCTCAGATCAGACCATCAGGTGGGTTGCCTCTATGAACTCGTATGCTCAGATCAGACCATTAGGTGGGTTGCCTCTATAAACTCGTATGCTCAGATCAGACTATTAGGTGGGTTGCCTCTATAAACTCGTATGCTCAGATCAGACCATCAGGTGGGTTGCCTCTATAAACCCACACATCAGTAACAGCTCCTTCATAGTTGCCCACATTTTGCTCTGCACATTTTGTTCTTGAGGCCTTTAAAGTTGCAGGTAGAGTGGGCAGGTCTGCAGAATGTGCCCAGCTGTTTGTGGTCCTGTCTGACAGGCACACTGCAGGGATTGTACAGTCTTTATTTTTTGCATGTGGTAGTTGAGCATGCAGTGTCCTGTTCGTAGACGGAAAATTGTATGTTGCTCTCTGCTGAGTCTGCTGATGGAGTCTTGTGGATGTTTACTGTTGGTTTTTTCTCTCCACAATTCCTTGTATTTTCCCTTGATGAGTGTTTTGATTTCTGGTAATGACAATAAATAAGGTGTTGTTTCTCCTCTGTTCCATTTTTCTTGTTTGCAAGTCTGTCTGCTAGCTCATTTCCTGGTATGCCGCAGAGATTTGCAAGTCTGTCTGCTAACTAATTTCCTGGTATGCCGCAGAGATTTGCAAGTCTGTCTGCTAACTCATTTCCTGATATGCCGCAGTGATTTGCAAGTCTGTCTGCTAACTCGTTTTCTGGTATGCCTCAGTGATTTGCAAGTCTGTCTGCTAACTTATTTCCTGGTATGCCGCAGTGATTTGCAAGTCTGTCTGCTAACTTATTTCCTGGTATGCCGCAGTGATTTGCGAGTCTGTCTGCTAACTCATTTCCTGGTATGCCGCAGTGATTTGCAAGTCTGTCTGCTAACTTATTTCCTGGTATGCCTCAGTGATTTGCAAGTCTGTCTGCTAACTTATTTCCTGGTATGCCTCAGTGATTTGCAAGTCTGTCTGCTAACTTATGTCCTGGTATGCCTCAGTGATTTGCAAGTCTGACTGCTAACTCATTTCCTGGTATGCCGCAGTGATTTGCAAGTCTGTCTGCTAACTCATTTCGTGGTATGCCTCAGTGATTTGCAAGTCTGTCTGCTAACTTATGTCCTGATATGCCTCAGTGATTTGCAAGTCTGTCTGCTAACTAATTTTCTGGTATGCCGCAGTGAGCTGGGCTCTACTGGAGAATGATTTGACTGTTTTCTAAGAGTTTGTTTAGCTAGAGGGTCAGCTCTCTGTCCCTGTTGTCTCGTGGATCCCTCTGAGTCACCCAGAGGACTGATACGCAGCCACAAAGGAAAACAGTTTTGCTGATTTTAATTTTTCTAACCTCAAGTACTTGCGTCCAACAATATCCATATCCAAAATTAAAGTCATTTGAAATCCAGAAATCACAAATCAGTTGTCACACAATTGAGTCGTCACACAATTCAGTCATCACTTTATTTTAATTTTATAATGCAACCCAAGCAAATGGCAAACTACAATCAATGGCCACAGCATCACTCTCAATGCTCAGTTCAAAAGTACAATCAATATTTTTAACTGGCAGTCTTGATACTGCAAATCAGAATACCCTATATACAGGCACACCTTGGCTCCCAGGTCGACCCAGCCTTAAGTGGGTACCGGGTGCAGTCCCGGGAAATTGAAGGTGGTCGGCGTAATACTGACCACATCACCCATCTTGTGCCGATTGGTCTATAAAAATATAGGTCTAGCCCTATATGTCCTATACGCCTCAAGGCGTGGAAAAGGGTCCTTTACTTTTTTTTTTATATACAGGCGCACCTATGGCCATGTTTTCGTGCTGGCTCAGAGATCCATTTATCTTCATAGTTGTAGGTTTTGACTCCTTTAGCCCAGCCTACACTAACCCTGTGTTAGCCCAGCCTACACTAACCCTGTGTCTGCCCAGCCTACACTAACCCTGTGTCTGTCCAGCCTACACTAACCCTGTGTCTGCCCAGCCTACACTAACCCTGTGTCTGTCCAGCCTACACTAACACTGTGTCTGCCCAGCCTACACTAACCACGAACTGCCCAGCCTACACTAACCCTGTGTCTGCCAAGCCTACACTGACCCTGTGTCTGCCCAGCCTACACTAACCCTGTGTCTGCCAAGCCTACACTGACCCTGTGTCTGCCCAGCCTACACTAACCCTGTGTCTGCCCAGCCTACAATAACCCTGTGTCTGTTCAGCCTACACTAATCCTGTGTCTGCCCAGCCTACACTAACCACGTGTCTGCCCAGCCTAAACTAACCCTGTGTCTGGCAAGCCTACACTAACCCTGTGTCTGCCCAGCCTACACTAACCATGTGTCTGTCCAGCCTACACTAACCCTGTGTCTGCCTAGCCTACACTAACCACGTGTCTGCCCAGCCTAAACTAACCCTGTGTCTGGCAAGCCTACACTAACCCTGTGTCTGCCCAGCCTACACCAACCCTGTGTCTGCCCAGCCTACACTAACCCTGTGTCTGCCCAGGCTACACTAACCCTGTGTCTGTCCAGCCTTCACTAACCCTGTGTCTGCCCAACCTACACTAACCCTGTGTCTGCAAAGCCTACACTAACCCTGTGTCTGCCAATCTAGACCATTATCTTTCAGACAACCAGACCTCATTATTAAACATAATGATTGACAGTCAGTGAAAACTCAGAGAAAATGCAGGACCATGTCTTCACCATCGATACAGCTGCTTACCGTAAAAGTTTAAAGTTGTCACTCCACGATTATTTGTACTGCCTCCATGATATTTGAGCACGTCAGGCCTAGACAAGATGGGTACAGAGTTATTAAATTGGTTTAAATATTTTAGTTGCAAATAGCCAAAACGGCACATTACCCAAAAGAAAAGGGTAAATTGCTGACACAAGTCATTTTTTGAGAACTTTTAAACATTAACAATGACATTACTGACTGCACTAACCTGAACTGTAAAATATTAACAATGACATTACTTATTGTACTTACCTGAACTGTTAAACATTAACAATGACATTACTGATTGTACTTACCTGGACTGTTAAACATTAACAATGACATTACTGATTTTA